CCTGCAGCGAGTTCCTGCCCACGTCCGCGTCCTCGGCGACTCCCAAGGCAAAGCGGGCGCCGGGAGGAGTCAACTCGTTGATCTCCAGCTGGAAATTGTCTTGCAGGAAACGCGGCGCGTTGTCGTTGATGTCCTGGATGGCCACCTCGACGTGGAAAACGTTGAGCGGGTTCTGCACCAGCGCCTCGAAGCTGACGGAGCAGGACGCCGACTCGCCGCACATCTCCTCCCGGTCCAGCCTCTCGCTCACGTACAGGTTCCCGCTCTCCCCGCTCACGCCGAAGTATTGCTTCTCCGCGCTGAGACGCAGCTTGCGCGCCGGCAGCTCCGCCGGGCTCAGCCCCAGGTCCCGCGCCAGCGGCCCCACCAGCGACCCTCTGCCCAGCTCCTCGGGGATGGCGTAGCGGATCCGCTCCGACGCCGCCGCCGCCGCCGCCGCCCGGCAGCACAAGCCCAGCAGCAAAGCGCCCAGCAGCAGCACCAGCACTCGCCCGCCTGCTCGCCGCCGGCTCCCACTCTCCCGCTGCCTCTCACCGACCGCCATTCTCGCCAGCGCTCGCCGCGCTCCTCCCTCCTGACGCTGCGCCGGCTCCGGCGGCGGCTGCGGCTCCAGCGCCGCTCCGCGTCGGCCAACAGCGGCACCCGGAGGCGCCGCCACGACACCGCAGCCGGCCGGTGACCGCGCTGCCGGGGGACCAGGCTTTCGGCTGGTGTTCAGTGGCTGTCCCCAGCTTTAAGTTCCTCTTTTATGATAATGAGGAAGAGCAGCGAATCCTACTGCAACTCCAAAGGCTTTTAAAAGTAGATGCCCTGCTACTTATTTTTTGGTCATCATCTTGAGCTGCAGTGAATCGTCAGTTGGAAAAATTCGTGGCAGAGTAACAAGTAAAGAACTCAGTTGCTTTTTACAAAATCTAGGAGGAATTATAAGAGGAAGAAAGATATTATAGGTAAGGAAGACTTTAAGAGCTTTATAGCATCCTGCCAATTCCCCTTCTGTCACAACAGACCGTGATAAAAAGTCTCTCTCCATCTTTCTTAGAAGTCCCTTTTAAAATAAAAAGGTGCAATAAAGTCTCCCCAGAGCCTTCTCTTCTCCAAGCTGAAGAACCTCTACTCTCTCAGCCCTTCTACACAACAAATAGAATTCTTCCAGCCCTTTCTTCATTTTTCTGGTCCTTCTCTGGACCTACCCCAACCACCCCATATCTTTTTCAGCTGTGGGCCCCAGAGCTGGCCAGCTTATGTCCCATTTGTCAGTCACCAGCACCCCCAGTCATCCTCCACAAGGTTGCTCTCACTCCCCCTCTATGTATTGAAACTGTGGATTGTACCGACCCAGGTGCAGGACCTTCCACTTGGCCTTCTAGAACTTCATGACATTTACAAGGAACAGCTACTCCAGCCTATCCACTTCCCTCTGGACACCATTCCTTCCCTGTGGCAAATCAACTGCGCCACTCAGTTTGGTGTCAGTGTTGTGGATTAACCGAGCTGACCTTCCCCATTTCATCAGACACCCTGAGGACGGGCTGTAGCTCATGACAAGCAAGGCAAGAGTGAGAAATGTACAGAAATGAACGGATAACTTGCAATAATATTTCTTAGGCTGAACGTATTGAGCAGAAGGAACAGAAATTCCCACTCCCACACATTATCATTCTATGACAGAACATGGGCAGCTTAAAAGACATGTGACCACAACCGTGTGCCCAATGGAGTAACTATGACAAGTAGGGAAATGACCATCAGTTCTTCTGCTGCCCCACCTGCTAACGGAGCTTCCCCAAGTCCTTTCTCCAACCCAACACAACCTGCAGCTTTGCTTACAACACTCAGAATTGGTAAAAACATATCATGACAGTATAATGCACCATGATCACACCAAAAAGGGAGGTAGATTTGTCTGCTCACCAACATTCTGAGAAGAAAGAGAATGATGGTAAACCGCATGAATGTTAAATGTCTGAACTAAAAGAGGAGCAGTCATCTAACAGAGTACAGGTAATAAATTCTACTGGCTTCATGCTTTCATCTCCTCTCCCTGCCACAACCAGAACATAGATATAACCTCACATCTTCTGCCCTCCACAAAAACTGTAGGATGAGCAAGAATCACTAACCCACAACATGTAGCCCAACAAAGATATGCCACTTTTCAAACAAAACCTACATACACAGCAAACCAGTAAGAGAAAAAAAAAAACCAATTTCAGTCATCCTGGGCTTCTCTACATGGCTGAGGGCTTGCCAAGGGAAGTAAGTGTCTGCTGCAAAACAACACTCACAGTTTCAAATACAAAAGAACCAGGCAGACATGGGGAGTATAAAACACGACCTTGCAGGAGACAAAGGCCTGAAAGAAAGTGTAATTACTTCTCTGCACCAAGGCCAACATTCAATATTTTGGACATATGTCAGCCACAGGCCAAAGAGCATGTAATTCAGTGACATATTAAGGAAATGGATTTCTATCAGAATCTTTGTTTTAGCAGCTGAACACCTATAAAGTATGGATGGCAACTGTGCTACCGACAGAACAATTTCAAGAGATCTTTTAATGTTTAAAGGATTAGCAGTCAAAATAAGGCCCAGCTTTGCAACTAGAAACACACACACACACAAATAATAAAAAAAAATACCCCAACAATCAAGGGCATTATAAATAAAATAATAAAAAATTATCCACCAGCAACCAAGGCAATAATGCGAAACGCAGAGAAGTGAAGGAATGCAAGCTTAACATTTCAGATCATGTCAGTTTTAGGAGCAACACAAGAAGGGTATCTAGTTGGTAAAAAGTCCACATGAGACTCACACAGGAGCTTACACCAGAGACCAGAGCCACAGATCTTCAAGGTAATTTCTTTGGACAATACAAAAGTGGAAAATGCATGGAACCTCAACTGTGGACCTCATACAACAACTGGGAGAAACTATATTTTTACAATTTTTGGACATTGCAAATTATACCATGGTGAACTTCTTCAGCTGCTGTGTCTCCGGACAGACACAATTTTTTCACCCTTCCTAATCATCACACAACAAAACAGCCCTTCTACACAACAAATAGAATTCTTCCAGCCCTTTCTTCATTTTTCTGGTCCTTCTCTGGACCTACCCCAACCACCCCATATCTTTTTCAGCTGTGGGCCCCAGAGCTGGCCAGCTTATGTCCCATTTGTCAGTCACCAGCACCCCCAGTCATCCTCCACAAGGTTGCTCTCACTCCCCCTCTATGTATTGAAACTGTGGATTGTACCGACCCAGGTGCAGGACCTTCCACTTGGCCTTCTAGAACTTCATGACATTTACAAGGAACAGCTACTCCAGCCTATCCACTTCCCTCTGGACACCATTCCTTCCCTGTGGCAAATCAACTGCGCCACTCAGTTTGGTGTCAGTGTTGTGGATTAACCCCAGCAGACAGCTAAGACCATGTAGCCTCTTGCTCACTCCCCTGGCTGGGATGGGGGAGAGAGTCAGAAGAATGAAACTGAGAAAACTCATGCCTCAAGATAAACATAGTTTAAAAAGTAAAGGAAAAGCTGCACAAAGAGACACACAAGAAAAGTTCTTGATGGACAAGTTCATTCACCACTTCCCATCACTGAGCAAGTGTTCAGTCATCTCCAAGAGAGCAGGGCTCCATCACACATAATGGGAAGACAAACGCCATAACTCCAAATGTTTCCACTTCTTTCTTTTTCCCAAAGTTTAATATACTGAACATGATGTCACATGGTATGGAATAGCCCGTTGGTCAGTTGGGGTCAGCTGTCCCAGCTGTGTCACATCCCAACTTCTTGTGCACTCCCAGTCTACTCACTGGCAGTGGTAGTATGGGGAGCAACAGAAAAGGCCTTCACTGCTTTGCACAACAAACACCAGCACCATTTTACCAACACTATTTCCAACCCAAGTCCAAAACATAGACCTATGCCAGCTGCTAGCAAGAAAGACAACTACATAAGATTGAGCTAGACGAAACCGTGACACTCATTGATGAAGATATTACTGAAACGCGTCAAATAGTATTGGTCCCAGTATGGACCCTTGAACAGTACCATGCGTTCCTGGTTCCCACTTGAACACTGAGCCATTGACCCTAACTCTTATGATGCGACCATCCAGCCAGATCCTTATCCATCTAACAGCTCACCTGTCAAACCCATATCTCTCCAACTGAGCTGCCACAATGTCGTGGGAGACCATCTGGGAGACACCCTGCACATGTTCTCCCACTGACCGTTACTCTGCTCATGGAAACCTTGGCTGGGCTGGGTTGCTTCTCTGCTCTTTGAGGGCTGCAGCAGAAATGGGTTTTCTTTCTTTCCCTACAGATGAATCTTCCCTCTGGGAGCACACGCACGCCTATGAAACCCTTCTTCTTTACAGCTGTGAAAATCCAAGGTCTGGACAGGAACTGCCCCTGAACTCAGACAATTAGAACCAAGCTGACCTTCCCCATTTCATCAGACACCCTAAGGACTGGCTGTAACTTATGACAAGCAAGGCAAGAGTGAGAAACATACACAAATGAACATGGATCAGCTTCAATAATATTTCCTAGGCCAAACATATTGAGCAGAAGGAACTGAAATTGCATGGTACCACAACCGTGTGCCCAAAAGAGTAACTATGACAAGCAGGGAAATAACCATCACTACTTCTGCTGCCCCACCTGCTAACGGAGCTTCCCCAAGTCCTTTCTCCAACCCAACACAACCTGCAGCTTTGCTTATAACACTCAGAATTGCCAAAAACATATCATGACAATATAATGCACCACGATCACACCAAAAAGGAAGTATGTTTGTCTGCTCTTCAATGTTCCATGAAGATATAGCAGAATTGTAAAAAACAGGAACCTTATACGCCAGAACTAAAGGAAGAGCAGTCATCCAACAGATGATGGGTAATATCAAAATATCACCTTCTGGGGAATCTCCTCCACTCTTTTGTTACACACACTGTTTTACACAGATGGGACTTCTACTGGCTTCATGCTTTGATCTCCTCTCCCTGCCACAACCAGAACATAAGTATAACCTCACATCTCCTGCCTTCCACAAAAGCTGTAGGATGAGCAAGAAGCACTAAAACACAACACATAGCTCAACAAAGATATGCCGCTTCTTCAAACTAAACCTACATACACAGCAAACCAGGAAGAAAAAAAAACTCGGACCAGGAAGCCAAGGAACCATTAAAGGCAGTGGCTTATGAGAGAAACTCACCTGGAAGTCTTCTTGTATCTTCACTGCTGGTGTTGATATTGATCCCTCTCAGCACCTGCAAATCACTGAGGTTTCAAGCACAAGTGCAACCCTAAAGTCTTCCTCTGGACTAGGGGGGAATTCATTTTAAGAAATACTCATCAGCTCTTGTTGATTTTTTCTACTCTGTGGCTGCTCATCTGCATATGGATATGAAGCCATAAGTGTAAACACGTATCTTAGGCCTCTTTCTCCAGTTCAGTCATCCTGGGCTTCTTCAGGTGGCTGAGGGCTTGCCAAAGAAAGGGTTTGCTGCAAAACAACACTCACAGTTTCAAATGCAAAAGAATTACTCAGACTTGGGGAAAAATCAACCATGACCTTGCAGGAAACAAAGGCCTGAAATAAAGTGGAGTTCTATCTCTGAAGAAACTTTGCATTGCAATGTTCCAGTGAAACATGGATGGATTAAGGAAGTTTTCACACAGTAATTATGAGCCTTCTACCCACGCAACTTCATTTTACATGCACATTTTTGGGGCAAATACTTTATGATTGTAGAACTATCATCATCTTTCAGGTCAGGGAGTCCTGGATAACAAAAAAAGGCACAGGCTTTTGTAACAGGCATGAAATCAAAGCATTGCTCAGCCAAAACCACAGTGATCCACCTATTTTCATGGTTCAGAGCCAGCCTATCACCCTTTTTGCTCTGCATTCACAGCATTGAAAATGTTGACATTATGTCAACCACAAGCCAAAGAGCATTTCATTCAGTGACATGTTAGGGAAACTGAGGTCTATCAGAGACTTTGTCTCGGCAGTTGAACACTTACAGGGTATGGATGGAAATTGATCCCCCAGCCAAACAATTATAAGAGATCTTTTAATGGTGTAATGATTACCAGTCAAAATAAGATCCAGTTATACACCTAGACACACACCCCCCTCCAAAAAAAACCAACCACAAAATCCTCTGTCAGCCAAGGCAAGAATGAGAAACCTGGAGAAGTGAAGGAATCGGAGCTTAACATTTCAGACCATGTCAGCTCTAGCAGGAACACAACAAGGGTATCTTGTTGGTAAAATGTCCACAGGAGTCTCACACGGGAGCTTACACTAGAGATCAGAGCCACAATTCCACAAGGTAATTTCTTTGGAATAAAGAGGGAAATCCATGCAACCTCAACAGTGGGCTTCATATATCAATTAAGACAAACTAAACTTTCATAATTTTTAGACATTTCAAATTATACCACAGTGAACTTTTTCAGCTGCCCTGTCCTGGACAGACACAATTTTTCACCCTTCCCAAACACCTCACAGCACAAAAGCTGCCTTTGCAGACAGACACCATTGAAAGGACAAGGATCCCAACATGGACACGTGCAGAGATTTCTGCAATCATCACATTAATTTGAAGGAACATGCAATGTTCTCAAGGGCATAAGGGATATGCAGCTCCAATAAAGACCCACTCATCAAAGTATCACCTTAAAGACACCATCATCCTACTACAGAACATGTGCAGTTGGAAGACACATGACTCTCAAATCTTAATGCAAATTCTCTATCTGTGCTCCATAACTGCCATTCACGGAAACGTCACGCAACAGGAAAGCAAACTGATGATCCCACAACTTGACCAGCTGGTACCTGAGCAGTGTGATATCAAAAAATACGACAAATTTGGCCTCAGGAATTTGGTCAAGGAATGAACCCTGGGAATTAATAAAAGACATACTGTGTCTCTACTGGTACCTCCTCAGACACAGCTTCCCCAAGACTCTCTTCAAAGCCTTCACAGCTCACATCATTGTCACTGTTCTTTAAAAGATGCAGATGGACTCCATTGAAAGAAAAGTTGCAGACACAACTTCTACTTTCCATGGATAATACTTGGCTTCTCACCACGTGTATGTGACAAGCAAGAGCATTTCTCCAGTTTACATTTTAAGGAAACACGTCCATGAAAGTCTGTCTCTTGACAACTGTAAACATGAAAGGCATTTACAGGACAGTCCAATGGAACAAGTGAGATATTCCACACATTATCAGATTCAAAAGCCCGGATTCAGATCATCAAAACAAACAAGGCAAGAGGTGAACACCTGTAGAAAGTGAGGGATCACAACGCACTCTTCCAGATGGTGTCAGTTACAGTACATACATAATTCACATATTTGTAGGTAACAATTACACAGTTTGCTCTTCCCAAAGCTCCTGTTATGGTGCTTCACTCAAGTACATAATGCAGTGATAGGTAAGAATTGATGAAAACCTGCAAAACTACAGGCAGGACCTCCCAGGGCTCCCAATACAGCTGAAATCACGTCCTCCAGCCAAACTACTTTGGGAAGAGGAATCTCGCAATGCATGATACTACAGCTGGACACTGAACAGGGCAAGGAGCAAGGATATCTGTGTCCCTCACACAAAGCTTCCATGAATGTCATACCCCAGTCTTCAAGATTTGCATGGTGTTCTTTAAGCCAGACAGTTTGAAAGCATATGACACGAAAGGACCAGTGTCACAGACCAGTTCTCTTCAACACGCATCACTATTACGCCACAAACTTCTCACACAAATATATTCACATCTCCATACTGAGAAGGAAGATACAACCATGTTCTCACTGCTTCATAGAAGAAACACCAAAAGTCTAAGAGTAAAAGGGAACTGCTCCTCCAGGAGAGGCTGGGTCAGCGAACACAGGCACAGGGCCCAAACTCCTCTCCTTACATTTATCCCAACACCTTGAATCTCTCACCTCCTGCCCTCCTATGACTCTTCCCATAGCATGTATTCTCAGGACAAGACACGTCCAGCAATATTCAACCCTGTCAGACATAAAAGACAATCTAAACATATCTCCCATGAATAGTCTTTCAAACGCAGCAACTCACAGCCTTTTTTCAAATGGTCACAACTTCTGTGATTTGCTTTCATCTTCAAAACAGGCAGACAGACCTCAACAAGGGATCAGTTGCTGCCCAGCCCATTCCTCTACCATGTGCACAAAGATAAATCAATGCAGAAAGACAAAGACATTTTTTTGCTCTCTCCGTTGTCATGGAGAAACAGAATTTTGTTAAGAAGAGCAGAAACAATGAACATTAAAGTGATAGATGGTGCAAAGAATAGTTTCAAGACAATCTCATCCCACTCAAGCACATATGGTGTCAGGAACACACCTTACCCTGCGAATAACGAAAACATCTATTTGTTAATAATGCAAAACATTTGTTCAGAACAGCTAGTACAGACAGGAAAGTCGATATTACATGTCAGAGGACAAAATGAGAAATGACGCAGTGCATGATAAGAACACAAAGCTGCACTCTAACGAAACTCAAGAAAACAGCAGCCCCACTTCTCCTGGCGACCCACATCTCCCACGATTCTCATCTCCAACCCTTCAAAATTTTCAAGGTGTTCTCTAAGCCATATAGTTTGAAAGCACAGGACATGAAAGGCCAGTGACCCAGACCATTTCTCTTCAACATGCAACACTATCACACCAGAAACTTCCCAAATGTATATCTCACATCTCTCTACTGAGAAGATACAATCATGCAATCACTACCTCATGGAAGAAACATCAAGAGTCTAAGAGTAAAAGGAAAGAGGTCCTCCAGGAGAAGCTGGATCAGGAACCATTGGTACTGGGCCAAAATCCCTCTCCTTACACTTCTTCCAGCACCTTGAATCGCTCCCCTCCCACCCTCATATGACTCTTCCCATTCCTCTGCCCTGAGCATAAAGATAAAAGCACACACGAATACAATGACCTTCTGTTGCTCATCACATTCTCATGAAGAAACAGAAAGGCAGAGAAGAGTAGAAACTGTGAGCAGCTGAGTTATAGACAGGACCATTTACAGTCTGTTTCAAGACAATCTCATCCTGCTCAAGCACAGGTGATGTCAGGAACATCTCTAACCCTGCCAATAAGGAAAATTTCCATTTGCTCAAAATGTAAAAAATTCATTTAGAAATGTAGTACTGAGAGGAAAATCGGTATTACACGTCAGGGGACAAAATGAGAAACAACATGGTGCGTCACAAGACCACAATGCCGCATTCTACCGAAACTGAAGACAATAGCAGCCCCGTTTCTCTTGACTCCCCCAACAAGTGCAACACTGAACAACGATCCCACGTTCAAGCTCTACCGAACCTCAAGCCAACACCAGCCCCACTTCTCCTGGCGACCAAACCAAGTCCAACACTGAGCAACGAGCCCACGATCACCTCCCCGGAGCAAGACGCACCAGCACAGTGCGCTCATGAACCAAACCTTGACTTCCTCCTAACTAAACCTCCCGAGGAGGGACAGCAAACACAGGACAGCAAGGGCAGAGATCGCGATAGGGAAGCGTGGCGGAGATGGGGCAATATACAGCCTGTTTCAAGACAATCCATCCTATTCAAGCACAAGTGCTGTCAGGTAGACATCTAACCCTGCTAATAATGAAAATTCCCTTTTCTAAATAATCCCAAACATCCGTTCAAAGATCACAGGTAGGGGAAAGGGCAGAGACTCGCGAGAGGGAAGCGTGGCGGAGCAATTCCGAGGGTGGGAGGAACTCACCGGGGGAGCGGCGGGGTCCCAGCACCAGCCAGCGCGTCAGGCTGCCGCCCGGCTCGCCCGGCGCCGCCGCCGCCGCGCTGCCCAGCTCCGACAGCAGCTCGGCCACGCTCTCGCCCAGCACCACCCTCAGCGTGGCCGTGGCCGACAGCGCCGGCCGCCCGTGGTCCTTCACCACCACCACCAGGCTCTGCCGCGCCGCGTCGCGGGCCAGCGGCAACCGCGCCGTCCGCACCTCGCCGCTGTGCAGCCCCACGCGGAACAGACCCGGCTCCGTCGCCTTGGCCAGCTCGTACGACAGCCACGCGTTCTGACCCGCGTCCGCGTCCACCGCCACCACCTTGGCCACCAGCGACCCGGGCTCCGCCGACCGCGGCCACAGCTCCACGCCCGACCACCACCCCGACACCGAGCCCCAGCCCGAGCCCGAGCCCGAGCCCGCTGGCGCCGGCGGCGGGTACAGCACCTGCGGCGCGTTGTCGTTCTCGTCCACGATCTCCAGCCGCACCGACACGTTGCTGCTCAGCGCCGGCGCGCCGCCGTCCTCCGCCCCCACCCACAGCCCCACCTCGCGCACCTCCTCGTAGTCGAAGGAGCGCAGCGCGTACAGCGCGCCCGTCTCCGCCTGCACCGACACGTACGACGACAGCGGCGCGCCCCGCACCCGCCCCTCCCACAGCCGGTACCGCACGCGCGCGTTCGCGCCCCAGTCCGCGTCCCGCGCCCGCACCCTCAGCAGCAGCGCGCCCGCCGCGTTGTTCTCGGGCACCCGCGCGCTGTACCGCGCCTCCGCGAACACCGGCGCGTTGTCGTTCACGTCCAGCACCCGCAGCGCCAGCACCGCGCTGCTCCGCAGCGGCGGCGACCCGCCGTCCGACGCCCGCACCGTCACGTTGTACTCCGACACCTCCTCGCGGTCCAGCTCCCGCGCCGTCACCACGCGGTAGTAGTCCTCAAAGCTCTTCTCCAGACGGAACGGGAGGTTCTCGGCGATGCTGCACCGCACCTGCCCGTTGAGTCCGGAGTCCCGGTCCTGGACGTGCAGCAGGGCCACCACCGTCCCCGGCGAAGCGTCCTCAGAGATTTCGCTCAGCGCCGACGACACTATCAGTTCGGGCGCGTTGTCATTCACGTCAATCACTGTGATCGTAACTTTCACCCTGTCGAAAAGCTCTCCTCCGTCCCGTGCCTGCACCTCCAGTTCATGGGACGACATTTCCTCAAAGTCCATATGATTCTTAAGGGATATTTCTCCAGTCACAGCGTCCAGGTGAAAAAGTTCCGACGCTCGGTCCGAAATTTTATGGAAACTGTATTTTACTTGTCCATTGATCCCCTCGTCGGCATCGGTGGCCGTGACGGTGACGAGGACGGAGCCCACGGGCACGTCCTCCGCCACACGCACCGTGTACTCCGCCTGGCTGAAGGCGGGCGCGTTGTCGTTGGCGTCCAGCACCGACACGCGGATGCGCGCCGTGCCCGTCCGCCGCGGCTCTCCGCCGTCGCTCGCCCTCAGCACCAGCTCGTGAAACGCCGCCTCCTCCCGGTCCAGCGCCTTCGCCAGCACCAGCTCGGGACGCTGCTCCCCGCCGGGGCCCGCCTGCACGGCCAGCGAGAAGTGCTCGTCGCCGCTCAGCTCGTAGCTCTGCAGGGAATTCCGACCCACGTCCGGGTCCTGAGCTTCGACCAAAGGAAAACGCCACCCTGGGGCTGTCGTCTCGGTAAGTTTCAGCTCTGTTTTCGCCTCTCGGAAACTGGGGGCGTTGTCGTTAATATCCGTGATTTCCACTTCAATTCCGTAAACCTTCATTTCTCCCTCCACGATCACCTCACAGCGCAGCACGCATTTCTCCACCAGCCGGCACAGCTGCTCTCTGTCTATCCTCTCCGCCGTCACTAAATGTCCCGTCTTCCCGTGCAACGAGAAATACTGCGTCCTACCTCTGTCCAGGAGGCGGACGCCGCGGTCTCGAAGCGCCGTGAGGTCCATTGCCAGGTCCTTGGCCACGTCGCCCACGAACGAGCCCTTCGGCATCTCCTCGGGAACCGAGTAGCGCAGCTGACCCCACGCCGCCTCCCACGCCGCCAACAGGACGCACCACAGCAGGGCTCGCTCCCGCCGGACCCACCGCCTCCCCGCCGACCACATCTCCGCCGCCCCACCGCCGGCACCGCAACACCGCCGACCGCTCTTCCGCCTCCCGATCCGGCTACCGATCCGGCTTCGGCTCCGTCACCGTCTCGCCGCTCCCGGCCGCTGCCGCCGCACCCTCCGCCTCGCTGCACCACGGCTCCGCACCGCGGGGACGATCGCAGAACGCTCGCCCGCCCAGCAAACCAGCCAGCCAGCGATCGGGCGAGCGATCGAGCCGGGCCGCAGCGGGCGGGGCTGCCTGCAGCGCTCCGGCCTTCCTCTCGCTCCTCCTCGGTCAACAGCGGCGCCCGCAGCCTCCTCCCGGCACTGCAGCCACCGAGCGCTGCCCGCCGCTGCCCGCCCGCCTTTCCGTCCCCCAAATCGCAGATCAAGAGCCCGTCACACAGCCACATTATTTCCCCAGATCCCTACCAGTAGAACAAAGCCGCAGTGAAGATCCTCTCCCAGAGGACAGCGGTTGTTCCCTGCATTGGCTTTTTTCTAATCCGTTCTTCTCTTTAACGAAACCTGTTAAATCTGCCACAAGTGAAAAATCACTTGGTAATGGCAATAAAGGTAAAGTAAAATAATTTTTTGAAATTTGACTTTTAGAATATTACAAATCTTATCCCGTTCGTCCCAAAGAAAAATCCTCATCAATAATTGTTGTGGCAGTCATACTTGATTACTGGTACAAAGACAGCAACGGAAAACAGACTCTGTCTATAGGAAACCTGATATTACCACGGACCACGCCTCGGAGAATCAGGGATTCATTATCCCAAGTGGGAGGACCCTTTGATTTGTTGGGTGGGTTTTTTTTGGTTTTTTTTTGTTTTTTTTTTTCAGAAATCACGGTGAAATGGATTAATGGTAAACGGTAAAGCATTTATCTAATTTTTGAAATTTCATGTTGGAGAACAGATCTTTCACCAAATAGTGTAGGACGGCATGAGACAAGTACCTCTGCAGAAACTAAACGAACATTTTGTATATTTCCTTGTCGATTTACTTATGTTCACAGGATGGGTAGAGTCCTTCCCTCTAAACTGAATTATACTAAAATAGTGGTACATGTACGGAGACATAAAATACTGGAAAAAGGAATGTTTAAGGACTTCTATGTTTTCCCTTTGTTATACCTCATATTGTATTTAATTGAGTAAATTAAAGCTTTAGTAAAGAGCTCATCTCATTCTTGAGTATTCACATTGGTAAGGCACCTTTTCAACCAAATACTGCAGGACTTCAAAAGGCAAGTACGGCTGCACACTCTAAATTATGCGGAGAGAGGACTTGATTCAAGTGCCAAATTGCTGTCAGTTTGTGCATTTCCTTTTTGCTTTACGTATGTCCTCAGCCTGAGCAGAGGCCTCCGCTTGTAAGCAGGCAAACCCAACAACTTTCAAAACGTGTCTGAGACACCGAATTTCTCTGTCTCGTATTCCCTGTCAAACCAATCAGGCAGGTCCCAGCACCACTCTTTGGCAAGAGGAAAAGAAGACAAGCTCTGAAATACTGAAAGTTGTTACTTTTTGTTTTCTTGAGATGGCATTCTACACCTGGACCTGTGTATGAAAGACAGATCGGGAAAGGGTAAAAAAAGGCACTACCACACAGGATGGAAGAGAAAAATGAGAAATAACAGCACAAGAAACTCGGATAAAACATTCCTGGATAAAATTCATCCACGCCATTAACGCTGCCATTTCTACAGCAGCCTTCCTCCAACGGATGAGAGGACACACGGCAGAAGAGGACAGACATTCTGTAACAGCGAGGAGGAACAACATTAAACTTCTCCATTCACGAAGCCACACGCACATTTTCCTTTGGACACCACTACATTTTCCGTCCTGAAGAATCGTTAGTTTACCGCCTTCACCGTTCCTAACTCACTAGAGAGTTGTAGCCAAAATCTCTCACCTCAACCTGTGACCAATGAAGAACCAACAAGTGCCGCCACTGGATTCCTGCTGTGAGTGGAAAGGGAATACACCGTTCGTTCCTTTACTGAGACACGGATCATCACTCCCCAGAAAAAAGTTAACCCGTCCCACTCCATTTTTGCAGCCTCATTCCGCAGAAGTTATATTCGGACTATAGTCTCGAATATCACTAGGGACGAAAAGCCTGTCCCCTTTCCATTCATGGAGCCACACGCATGTTTCCATTTGGAATTGAAAAAGCATTAACCAACGGGTTTTTGATCGTTCATCAAAACGGCTCAAGTACAGAGTTTCGGGGAAAGTCGATCAGAAAGGAAACAACTCTAACCGCTACTGGCAAACCCGAGTCTATTATGCAGAAACACCAGATCTCATTCCACACAGTAAGGATTCGCCTTCACCGTTACTAACTCATAATAATTTACGCAAAATGAGAGTTATGGAAAAAAATATCTCGGGTGAACCAGTGACCACCGAGAAACAAAGGAGTGACGCGGCTAATGTCGTGCCAGGGAACAGGAAGTTACCCCGACCTTTCATTTCTTCACGAACACAAGAAATAGCACTCCCCATCCACACCACCCGGCGAAAACCCGGGCAATAGGGAGGGAGGTTGAGCACAGCTCAGGGAAAAGAGGGAGAGCGCGCGGGCTTACAGACCTGCGGGGCGTCGGGGTCGGCGGGCGGCTCTCCCGCGCCGGCGCTGATGCTCGGGCTCGGCTTCCCGCAGGGCTCCGCGCCCAGCAGATCCTCCGCGGGCACGACGGGCAGAGGCGGCGGCGAGGGCCAAGCGGGCTGGGCGAGGGCGCGTCCCGGCGCCACGCACAGGTTGTAGGAGTAGGGCAAGGTGCCCTCGCAGAAGTCGGCCGGGAAGGCGGCGCCGGCCACGGAGAAGCGCTGCGCGCCCAGGCAGCGCAGGACGGCGGGCGGCCCGGCCCGGCGCAGCCGCGCCAGCACGGCCAGCGCCACGCTGAGCAGGAAGAGGGCGGAGAGGAGCGCCAGCGCCAGCACCAGGTAGAACTGCAGCTCGGCCGGCGAGTCGGCGCCCGCCGCCCGCTCGCTCAGCTCCGGCAGCGCCTCCTGCAAGCTCTCGGCCAGCACCACGTGCAGCGTGGCCGTGGCCGACAGCGCCGGCTGCCCGTGGTCCTTCACCACGGCCACCAGCCGCTGCTTCGCCGCGTCCCTCTCCGACACGGCCCGCGCCGTCCGCACCTCGCCGCTGTGCAGCCCCACGCGGAACAGCGCCGCCTCCGACGCCTGCACCAGCTCGTACGACAGCCACGCGTTGCGCCCCGCGTCCGCGTCCACCGCCACCACCTTGGCCACCAGGTACCCGGCCTCGGCAGAGCGCGGCACCACCTCGAACGGCCCCGACGGCGACGACGATCCCGACGCCCCCGACGCCGCCGCCGCGTCTCCCGGCGCCGGCCAGAGCACGCGCGGCGCGTTGTCGTTGCGGTCCAGCACGAAGACGCGCACCGTGGCCGTGGAGCTCCGCGCCGGCGCCCCGCCGTCCTGCGCCCGCACCGCCACCGAGAACTCGCGGCACTGCTCGTAGTCGAAGGAGCGCTGCGCGTACACCGCGCCGCTCCGCGCCTCCACCGACACGTACGCCGCCGCGCCCGCGCTGCCGCCCGCCAGCCAGTAGCTCACGCGGCCGTTGGCGCCCGCGTCCGCGTCCCGCGCCTGCACGCGCACCACCGACGCGCCCGCCGCGTTGTTCTCCGCCACGTACGCGCTGTAGGCCGCCTCCTCGAACACCGGCGCGTTGTCGTTCACGTCCGACACCTCCAGCACCAGCGACGCGCGGCTCCACAGCGGCGGGCTGCCCCGGTCCCTGGCCACCACCGTCACGCGGTGCTCGGACGCCTGCTCACGGTCCAGCGCGCTCGCCGTCACCACCTTGTACGACCCGCCCGACGACGCCACGATCGACAGCGGCGCCTCGCCCGACAGCTCGCACGACACCTGACCGTTCTCCCCGGAGTCCCGGTCCCGCACTTTCAGCAGGGCCACCACCGTGCCGGCGGGCGCGTCCTCGGGCACCGGGCTCGACACCGACGACACCGTGATTTCAGGCGCGTTGTCGTTCACGTCCAGCACCTCCATGTCCACCTCGCAGTGCGCCACCAAACCGCCCCCGTCTCTCGCTTCCACCAGCAGTGTGTAGCTTCGCGTGTCCTCGAAGTCCAGCGCCTCCCGCAGCGTGATCGTCCCGCTCTCCGCGTCCACCTCGAACTTCTGAAGGACTTTGGCTGGAGCTTCTTGGAAGCTGTAGTTTATGCGGGCGTTGGTGCCGGCGTCGGCGTCGGAGGCGGAGACGTTCAGCACCGTCGAGCCAGGCGGCGCGTCCTCCCGCAGGCTCGCGCGGTACCGGTCCTGCGAGAACACGGGTGCGTTGTCGTTGGCGTCGGTGACGTTGATGCAGAGCTGGGCGGTGCCGCTGCGGGGCGGGTCGCCGCCGTCCACTGCCGTCAGCACCAGACGCAGGCTCTGCTCGCTCTCCCGGTCCAGCGCCCGGCGCAGCACCAGCTCCGCAAACTTTTTGCCGTCCTGTCTCTCCTTCATCTCCACCGCGAAGTACTCGTTGGCCTCCAGCTCGTAGCCCTGCAGCGAGTTGCTGCCCACGTCCGCGTCTTCGGCGATTCCCAAGGCAAAGCGGGCGCCGGGAGCAGTGAACTCATTGATCTCCAGCTGGAAAGTGTCCTGTAGGAATCGCGGCGCGTTGTCGTTGATGTCCTGGATGGCCACCTCGACGTGGAAAACGTTGAGCGGGTTGTGCACCAGCGCCTCGAAGCTGACGGAGCAGGACGCCGACTCGCCGCACATCTCCTCCCGGTCCAGCCTCTCGCTCACGTACAGGTTCCCGCTCTCCCCGCTCACGCCGAAGTATTGCTTCTCCGCGCTGAGACGCAGCTTGCGCGCCGGCAGCTCCGCCGGGCTCAGCCCCAGGTCCCGCGCCAGCGGCCCCACCAGCGACCCTCTGCCCAGCTCCTCGGGGATGGCGTAGCGGATCCGCTCCGACGCCGCCGCCGCCGCCGCCCGGCAGCACAAGCCCAGCAGCAAAGCGCCCAGCAGCAGCACCAGCACTCGCCCGCCTGCTCGCCGCCGGCTCCCACTCTCCCGCTGCCTCTCACCGACCGCCATTCTCGCCAGCGCTCGCCGCGCTCCTCCCTCCTGACGCTGCGCCGGCTCCGGCTGCGGCTGCGGCTCCAGCGTCCCATTCCGGCTCCCCAGCTTTGGGGTCTCTGTTCTTGGAACAATCAGGAAACGTAGAAGCACTTATCGCAACCCAATGGAATTCAGAAATATGCTGTCAAGTACCTTTAGGTCATCTCCTTGAGACGCAGTGAATATCTGAAGGAAATGTTTGTGGCCGATCAATAAATAAAGGACCTAGGGTGCGTTTCATAGAATCCAGATGGAAATATATACACAGAAATTATTTTATATCTAGGGAAAAATTTAAGAGCTTTATACCATTCTGTCAGTTCCTTTGAATTCAACTTTTTTTTACCTGGGACGATTCGTGTCCGTGTAATCAATTAATAATCAGAAATTGAACTAGTGAAATTCTTGCAATTCTGTTTGACAGACCTTTGAAGAGTTTCCCTCTTCCCCACATTTCTTCCTTTTGCGCTGACAGTTGTTCAACCATGGTTTTTACAGTTCAGGCAGAAGAATAGTCTCACTGAGAATTGCAACAATGATGAAGAAAGGATCTATAGTTCTATGCTAAGGTAGAAAAACAAGATTTACAGTTCTGTTTATGATTTACAGAATTTGCTTATTTTGCATCTCCATACTTGAGGAACTGACAACAAGGAATTGTAAAGCCACATCACATCTTTCATAGAACCATAGAATGGTTCGGGTCAAAATGGACATCTAAAGACTATTTATTCCAATCCCTCTGCCATGGGCAGCGACCTCCTTCACTATATCACATTGCTCAAAGCCCCATCCAGCCTCACCTTCAGACCTTCCAATGATGGCACATCCATGAATTACCTGGGAAACCTCTACCAGTGTCTCATTGCCCTCATGATTCCTTCCTTATGCCTAATGGAAACCTACCCTCTTTCAGTTTAAATCCGTTGCCCCTAGACACAATCCCCCTGTCTCTGCTGAAACTGGGGAATGTCCCAACCCAGCTGCACGACCTTGCACTTGGCCTTCTTGAATTTCATTACATTCTCACAGGCCCATTCCTCCAGCCTGTCCAGGTCCCTCTGGATGGCATCCCTTCCCCATAGTGAATCAATTGCCTCACTCTAATTTTTATTGCCTGCAAAACTGAGGTGGGTACATTGAATCCTGCTGTCAGTGTCACTGTCATGATTTTACCCCAGCTGACACTTAGGACCATGCAACCTCTTAGTTACTCCATAGTTGGGGCTGGGGGGAGAGTCAGAAGAATAAACATAAGAAACCCCATGGGTAAGGATAAAGACAGTTTAAATAACGAAAAAGCTGCTCAGACAAGCAAAGCAAAACAAGGAATTCAGTCACCATTTCCAATTGACAGGGGCGTGTTCAGGCCTCTCCTTGAATGCAGGGCTCCATCATGCGCAACAGCTACTTGGGAAGACAAACACCAGAACTCCAAATGTCACACTCCCCACTTCCTTCTTCCTGACTCATGAGCAAGATGTCACATGGTATGGAATAGCCCTTTGGTCAGTTGAAGTTAGATGTCCCATCTGAATCTACTCCCGACTTCTTCTGCTGGCAAGGTGGTTTGTGTTGGAGTGGGAGACAGACCCAGAGTAACGATGGAATCTCAATATGAGTATGATCGTTCTCCCTTTATTCATGTTTTTACAAAGTATATATAGACAGGCAAGCAGAACACGCACTAGCGGTAGCTATACGATTGGCTTACAATCTCTGTTCACGTGACTAGAGCGCTCACACAACTGGTGTAGACCCCTTGTCCACGCGCAGCAACATTGTCTCATTTTCTGGATGCGGTCCCGTTTATCTTATCTACCAAGTAGCTACTTCTTCTTACTTCTGCTTTTCCCAGGAGAGTTCACGGTCATCTCCAGGCCTTTATCTACATCAAAGACTGGGTTGCTCATCACAATTAAATCGTGCCCCTTTTCACACAGCCATTCCTCCACAGGTTTGAGTAGCAGAAAAGGCCTTGACTGCCTCACAAAATCAAGCCATCGGTGCTTTACCAACACTATTAATCCAAAGCAGACCTATACCAGCTGCTAGCAAGAACATCAAGTCCATCCCAGAGGAAAACATGGAACTTGTTGATGAAGATATTCTTGAGATACATTCTAAATCATTGGTCCCAGTATGGATTCTTGAGCAATACAGCATGTTACTTGTTCCCACCTGGACATTGAACAATTGACTCTTTGTATGTGGCCATCTAACAGCCCACCTGTCAAACCCATATCTCTCCAACTGAGCCATGTAATGGGAAATCATGTGGGGGACACCCTGCACATGTTCTCCAACTGACCCTATGTCTCTTCATGGAAACCTTAGCTGGGCTGGGTTGCCACTCTGCATTTTGAGAACTGCAGCAGAATCGGGATGGGTTTAAAAGACAAGTGTTCACTCTGGAAGTACACGTATGTCTATGAAGCTCTTCCTCCTTACAGCTGTGGACCTCCAAGGTGTGGGCAGGAACTGATCCTGCACTCCAACAATTAGAACAGAGCTGTCCCCATTTCATCAGACACCCTGTGGACTGGCTGTAGTTCATGACAAGCAAAGCAAGAGGGAGAAACATACACAAATGCATATGAATCAGGTGCAATAACACTCATTAGGCCAAACGTATTGAGCAGAAGGAACTGAAATTGCGTGATACCACAACTGTGTGCCTACCAGAGTAACTATGAGATTATAACACAGCATGATCACTCCCAAAATGGAGGTATGTTTGTTTGCTCACCAACATCCTGCAAATAGAAGGATTGTAAGGCACAGGAATGTTAAACGTCTGAACCAAAAGCAGAGTAGTCATCCAACAGACAATAGGTAAGACCAACTTCTGGGGAATCTCCTCCCCTCTTTGATCACAAACACTGTTCCACAGAGATGTGACTTCTACTGGCTTCATTCCTTACCGTCATCTTCCTACAACAACCAGAACACAAGTACAACCTCACATCTCCTGCCTTGCACAAGCATGGGAGGATGAGGAAGAGGCACTAATGCACAACATGTGGCTAAACAAAGATATGCCACTACTTCAAAGTAAGCCAAAGGAAACCAGGAAGAGAAAAAAC